GACTGGGAGTGATACTGGAGGTCACCACCCCAAACAAGCCCCGCCCACCCAAAAATAAATCCTGCCCACTTCCAACGGAGTGGGCGGTGCTTTGCCGGTGTCACGTCATGTCACTTCCGCCAATCGACAATAGGGACACGCCCCCCCCCCCAGTTCAAACCAGTTCCCTCCCAGTTCCCTCCCAGTGCCCCCTTTGGGCGTCCCCCACTTGTCTCATTTGCATAACCCTGCCCCTCGAAGAGCACCCTAATTTGCATATCCAAGCCCGCTGGTCTGCATCCCTCTGAGCTGCCTTAATTTGCATAGCCACGCCTCCCACTCTCCTTTGCATATCAACGCCACTTTCCATCTCCTTGTCCTGGTTCATTTGCACAAGCCCGCCCCCAGGGCCCCATCTCATTTGCATATTAACACCTCTCCCCCACCTCCTTTGCCTCATCCTTATTTGCATAACCCCACCCTGACATACCCTCATTTGCATACCCCACCACTCTCCCTCTGTCCTGCCTTCATTTGCATGGCCCCGCCCACCACAGCTTGCTGTTATTTGCATACCGCCCCACGTCACTCACCCTCCCCAACTGCGTTGCCACGCCCCTGTCGTTTGCATAACGAGCACTGCCCACAAACGAGCCTCATTTGCATAAATAAAAGCTTAATCTCGTTTTATTTGTGATTGTTGGGCATCATTTGCATGGACACGCCCCCAAAAGCAACCCCTCATTTGCATGGACATGCCCCAAAAGCAGATCCTCATTTGCATGGACACACCCTAAAAGTAGATCCTCATTTGCATGGACACGCCCCCCAAAAGAAATCCAGGCCCCCCAAACTGACCCCAAGGACCCAAAATTTCCCCCCCAGTGTCTCCCAAAGTGACTCCAGGACCCCCAAACTGCCCCCAGGGACCTCCAAAACTGCCTCTGGGACCCCCAAAACTAACCCAGGGACCCCCAAACTGATGCCAGGGATCCAAAATTCGCACCGAAGGCCCCCTGAACTGCCCCTGGGACCCCTAAAACTGCCCCAGGGCCCCCCAAACTGCCCCCGGGGCCCCCCCCCCCAGCCCCCCCCGATGATGCCCCCCCCCCGGACGTGCCCGAAGCCCCTCAGGCAGCGCCGCTCAGAGTGACCCCCCCGTGAAACCACCTCGACCTGTACTTCCCGGCCCAGGGGGCCACCAGAACCGGCCCCGTGGCCACCAAAAGCGGCCCCATGGCCACAGGCCCCGTGGCCACCAAAACTGCCCCCGTGACCACCAGAATTGCCCCTGTGGCCACCAGCTTGACCACCAGCCCCTGGACCACGAGAACTGCCCCCGTAGCCACGAGAGCAGCCCCCATGGCCACCAGCTTGACCATCAGCCGTGGGGCCACCAGCCCTGCAGCCACAGCCCCCGTGGCCACCAGAACTGCCCCCACAGCCACCACCCTCACAGCTAGTAGCCCCCTGGCCACCACCCCCCTCCTGGCGGCCACCACCACCATTTCCAGTCCCCTCAACCCCGTGGCCACCACTCCCATCCCAGTGGCCACCTCGCTCTCCCCCCTCACCCTCCCATCGCCCGTCCGCCCCGGTAGCCACCCTGACCCCGCGCTTGCCCAACGCCAACCGCGGCCTCCCCTTGTCCAGGGCGGCCAGGAGGGCGCAGGCCATGCACAGGTCACCGCTGGCCACCGACCCGCAGCGCCCGCAAGCCCCTGGCGGTTCCCCTGTGCCCGGTGCCGCCCCCAGGGCCAGCCGGCGCCCCGAGTGGGCCAACGCGGCCACGGCCGCCGGCCGGGCGGCCTCCAGGTCCTTGAGGAGGGCGCGGGGATGGCCCCGGAAGGCCAAGGGTGCGTGGTGGCACTCGGAGCTGGCGTAGGAGAGCCCCAAGAAGTGGGCATAGAGCACGATCTCCCTCTGTGCCGCGTGACGCAGCGGCTTCAGCCGTGGCACCACCGGGGGGGTGGCGTTGGGTCGGGAGGGGGTCTGGGTGGGTTTCCTTGGGTTCCTGTTGAATTTCGTTGGGTTTCCGTTGCTGTTTCTTAGGTTTCCCTTGAGTTCTGATGAATTGTCGTTGGGTTGCATTGAGTTTCTGTCAAATTTTGTGGGGTTTCTGTTGGGTTCCGATGAGTCATGGTTGGGTTCTGTTGGGTTGTCATTGGGTCCCACTGGGTTTCTGTTCAATTTTGTTGGGTTTCTGTTGGGTTCTGATGAGTTGTCATTGAGTTCTGATGAGTTGTCATTGGGTTCCATTGAGTTGTCGTTGGGTTCCAATGAATTGCCATTGGGTTCCGATGAGTTGTCATTGGGTTCTGTTGGGTTTCCATTGAGTTCCGATGAGTTGTCATTGGGTTCCATTGAGTTTCCGTTGGGTTCCGATGAGTTGTCGTTGGGTTCCGTTGGGTTTCTGTTGGGTTCCTTCTTGGTGGTCCCAGAGGCCTCATCGGCCTCAGTGGCCTTATTGGTGGCCCCAGTGGCCTCGCTGGTGGCCGTGGTGGCCTCATTGGCCCCAGTGGCCTCATTGGTGGCCCCGGTGGCCTCGTTGGCCCCAATGGCTTCGTTGGTGGCCCTGGAGAACTCATTGGTGGCCCCGGTGGCCTCGTTGGCCGCGCGCCGCAGCCGGGCCACATCCCCGCGCAGGAAGTTCATCAGAACCGTCTCGGCCACGTCGTCAGCGTTGTGACCTGGGGGGGGCCCAGTGACCACCAGTGACCTCCCAGTAACAGCCAGTGACCTCCCAGTGACCAGCAGTGACCTCCCAGTGACACCTAGTGACCTCACACTCACCCCAATCCCATCCCAGCTTCCCCCAAGCCTCCCCCAGTCCCTTCTACCCCCTCCCAGTCCCCCTGAATCCCCTCCCAGTCCCTCCCGCTCCCCTCCCAGTTCACCCCAGTCCCCTCCCAGTCCCTCCCAGTCCCCCCCAGTGCTCCAAAGTCACTACCCACTCTGCTCCCATCTCCATGGCCCCACTCCCAATCCCCTCCCAGTCCCTTCCAGTCCCCCCCAATCCCCTCTCTGTCCCTCCCAGTCCCCCCCAATGCCCTCCCAGTCCACCCCAATCCTCTCCCAGTCCCTCCCAATCCCCTCCCAGTCCCCCCAATCCCCTCCCAGTCCCTCCCAGTCCCCCCACTGCTCACCAGTCACTATCCAGTCGGCCCCCATCTCCCCGGCCCCCCTCTCCATTGCCCTCCTCCTGAGGACCCCGCAGAGGGTGCAGCGGCTCCTCCCGCCCAGCGCCGGCCCCGCCTGGTCCACGGTGAGCCCGAAGAGCTCCCGGTGCTCCACCACGAGCAGGGGCAGGGGGAGGGCCAGGGCCACCTCCCTGAGGGCCACCAGGGAGGGCTCTCGGTAGCCGGAGATGCCCTCGTCCACGGCCAGCAGAGCCAACCTCAGCCCCAAATTGTGGCACCGATCCAACCGGGACAGAACATGGGCCAGCACAGTGGAATCTTTGCCCCCTGAGGCCGCCACGGCCACCCCCTGCCCCGGTTTGGGGGTCCCCGAGGGGTCCCCGAGCAGGGCACGGAGGGTCTCGGCCTCAAAGGCGGCGACGAAGCAGTGGCGGCAGAAGGGGAGGAGGGAGCGGGAGCGCAGCAGGGATGAGGGGCTGGGGCAGCGGGAGCAGCGAGGGGGGGACATGGCCGGGCCTGCAGGGGGGAAAAAGGGGGAAAAGAGGGAAAAAGGGTCAGAGGGAGGCGGGAATTCCAACAAAAAAATGGGGATTCCCCACAAATAGGGGTTTTTGGGCCTGAAACGGGTGGTTTTGGTCCTAAAATGAGGCGTATGTTCGGCCCTAAAATGGACAGTTCCAATCAAAAAAATGGGTATTTTTGGTCCTAAAATGGGGGGTGGTTTTGGTCCTAAAATGGACAATTTCAATCAAAAAAATGGGTATTTTTGGTTCTAAAATGGGTGGTTTTGGTCCTAAAATGGATAGTTTTGATTAAAAAAATGGGTATTTTTGGTTCTAAAACTGGGGGGAAGGTTGGTCAAAAAATGGGAATTCCCCACAAATGGGGATTTTTGGGCCTAAAACGGGTGGTTTCGGTCCTAAAATGGACACTCTTGATCAAAAAAATGGGTATTTTTGGTTCTAAAATGGGGGGTGGTTTTGGTCCTAAAACGGACACTTTTGGTTAAAAAAATGGGTATTTTTGGTCCTAAAATTGCGGGGGGGGTTGGTCAAAACCAGGAATTTTTGGACCCAAATGGGTGTTTTCAGGTCCAAAAACGAGAATTTTCAAAAACGTGTGAATTTGGTTAAAAAAAAAATAGGACTTTTTAGCCCCCCAAATGGTTATTTTTACACACAAAATGGGTATTTTTGAGAACTAAAATGGTCTTTTTTAGCCAGAAAATGAGACTTTTTGGCTCCAAAATGTGAATTTTCAGCCCTAAATCGGTAGTTTTGGACCAAAAACGGGTATTTTTGGCCCAAGATGGATGTTTTTAGCCCCAAAATGGACACTTTTACACCCAAAATCAATACTTTGGGTCAAAACATGGGAATTTTCTGCCCAAAATTGGTAATTTTGGTCAAAAAATGAGTATTTATACTCTCAAAACAGGTATTTTTGGACCTAAAATGGGTAGTTTTGGACCTCGAATGGGTATTTTGACTCAAAAAATGGGATTTTTTAGCCCC